GAGGTAATTCATAATTGCTTTATTACGAAACATCCTCGGCGGGATGGTCGCTATACCTTTCAGTTTCACCGCTACGGGCACTGGGTGAAGGTCGAGATTGACGACCGAATCCCCATGGAGGAGGGCGAAACGGTCTACTGCCGTTCCCCCACCGAGCACTGGTGGCCGCTACTGCTGGAGAAGGCCTACGCAAAGTTCTACACGCTCTACAGCAACCTTGAAGGGTGCACACAGCAGGAGGTACTTCACGACTTCTCTGGTCAACCAGTGATCTACACGTCCATGGCTCCTGATTCACTTAGCAACCTTTTTTCCTCTTCTCCAATAGACGTTCGAACACCGCAATTTTGGCTTTTTCTTCGTTTTGAACTCAGAAGAACAGTGACTGCCGCATTGTGCTCAAGTGATAAATATGGCTTAATTGGTTCACAGTCTTATGCTATTCTTGATATTGTGCCAACCAAGCCGGATTCCGAATGTCTGATGAGTGACCTGCTAGTTGAGCTCTACAGCACCTTCAAGAACTCTTCTTATACTGGTCCTATGAATTCTAGTGACCCCGCTTGGACCGCTACTCTGCAACGTATGTGTCGCCTAGAAGAGAATGGAATTATATATATCCCGGCCAATATTTTTGTCGATGCCTTTACTGCTGTTCAACAATGCATCTTTGAGGGCTTAGCTCAACCAAGCTTTCATTTCAACAGCGAGTGGGGTGAGAACACCAATGGAGGCAATCCCAACTTGACAACATGGCGAAATAACCCTCTTTATGTGGTGCGAAACACATCAGATAAACCCATTCAGTTGCTGTCAATGGTTTGCCTTCCCGATCAACGCCACTTGCTTCACAAGATTCCCGACCATAACTTGAACTACCCTCAAGTGGGTTTTACTTTGGCACGCACGTTTCCGTCCTCTGCAGACATTCCAACATACCTGGTGACCCTAGATAATCACGAATTAACCCACCGAGGGTTGTTTTTCTGCGACCGCGAGGTTAGCGACCTCATCATCATTCCTCCACTTTCCCTCTGCTACCTTGTCCCTAGTTGTATGTACTACGATCAAATGAAATTCCTATTGACGTACTGGTATTTGGACGAGGATGATGAAAAGTACCTTAAAATTACCCGATTAAAGACCAATGTGGCTCGTAATTCACCCGCTACGGCGAACTTTACGCTGCGCAACCAGGGTACCGATCGTCTCGATTTCTACGTGGAGACCCCTACTGACATTCACATTCTGCTCAAACAACCGAAGGCGACGGCCTCGAGTGAGGGCTATGTGTTGTCCGATCATTACCTGAATATGAACCTCTATGATGAGCAGGACCAGCGCCTCAAAGGGTCTTTAATCCCGGTATGTTATACCGAAATGAGTATTGTGCACCGTTTGCCTGAACCCGGGCGCTACGCCGTTGTCGTTTCCTGCATTTTTACCAACAGTTCGGTCCCGTGCGAGGTCGAGGCGGTCGGGGTTAATGCGGCCCACGTTCAACGGATTTCCTCCCCTGCCAATCCCGCCGACCTGCGGGTGGTGGACCTGAGTTTTTGCGAAAGCGAGCCCGAGGGTCTCCTGCTCGGGATGCTCAACCTCAACGAGGACGCGGAATTTCAGGAAAAGCTGGCCGAGCTCACACGACAATTGGCGAACCCTAACGCAGACCCGGATGAATTCACGGCGTTGAAGATAACTCTTAACGAACGTTGCCATGAAATTGCAAAAGCGATTATCGGAAAGGATCGACCGGATTACTTGTGCGGGATGGACTTGCTGAGTCTGAACCCTGTTTTGGATGCGAATGAACAGTACATGGCTTTGGAGCGACAGCGGTATGAACTTAAGAAGGACCCACGAAACGCGGACCTCGTTTCGAACCTTGAGAGTGAATTGCGCTCGCTTGCGGAATCGCTTCAGGGGAGCTACACGAATACCTTGAATATTGACTTTTTACCACCAACTATCGAAGGCATCCCAAAGTATGACCTACCCCTTATCGTAGACGAAAAGTTCATGGAGGGCCTGAAAAGGCGTGCCGTACTCTTATGCAGCTCTGAGGACAATTCTAGTGCGGTTAATGATACTGAAGAGTGGCTATTGGAGTGTGCCCGAGAAATTGCGAACGACATGCATCGTAAGGAACGGTATTACCTCAACCCGAACCCCAGCTTTATTCCTCTCGAGCTCATACCACTGAATTCCGATGACGAATTCTGTCGGATGGAGAATGAGTTGCGTGAGCTCTGTGCATCTTCCGGACATAACCATGAAAATATTAAACAGGTGCAAGGTCTCTTGAACCAATATGTCGAGCGGATTGCCGGTGATTTGAAGCGACAAGAGCGGAACATGTTTTTGCACCCGGAGATCGCAAATAATGAGTTGATTCCTTACGATTCCGATGAAGAATTCCACGGCATGGAAGTACAGCGACTACGATTGCGATTCCCAAAAGATGCAGATCCAAACTCCGGGACGCAATCCACGATTCCCGAGCTCGAGGAGGCGATGCGTGTGCGTGCCAATGAACTGTATGAACTAACCCAAACCAACGAACGAAGCTTTCTTTTAGCGTATGATATCGACCCCGTGCTGATCAAAGACCTCCTGAGTGGCAGCCCTTCCTTTTGCGAGAAGGAGACACGTTTACGCGAGCTGAAGAAGAACCCCGAGCAGAATAAAGCGGAAATTGCCCGACTGCAGAGCGAACTCGCGGCGGACGCGAAGGCGCTCATGGATGCGTACAGGGAGTCCGAGCGGCCCAAATACCTTTCCTCATCCTACGGCGGCTTGGCTCTCGAGATGATCCCGCTTAACGACGATTCGGCCTTTATGGAGATGGAGGCGGAGCTTTTGAAAATGCTGAACGACCCCGAGTCCTCCGAGGAGGCGATTGAGGGATTGGTGGAGCGCCTGAACGCGCACGCGGCCGCGCTCGCGCGGGATGTTCTCGTGCAGGATCGCGCTACCTATCTGCCGGATACGATTTTAGGCTTTCCCCGGAGTTTGCTGTCTTTGGACGACGATGAGGAGTTCGCCCAATTGGAGGAGGAGCGGGCCCGCATACTGTCCGACCCATCGCGCGCCGGTGAGCTCGACACGATCGAGCAGCGTCTTTTGGCCCACGTCGAGGAGCTGATGGCGGAGAGGATTTCCGGCGAGCGCGAGTTTCTCGATCCCGCGCCCGAGGGGATTCCGCTGCGGCAAATCCCATTTAGCGACGACCCAGCGTTTCACGCGCTGGAGCAAAGCCTAATTCACCAAACCAACTCGCCTCACCCGGACGAATCCCAAATCCAGAACCTACAAGACCGTCTGCGGGCGCGGGTGGGGGAAATCGCCGCTCAGATGAAGCGCGAGTTGCGATCCACGCTGGAGCAGTCCCCGCTGAACGTCCCGCTGAGGTATCTTCCGCTGGATGAGGACGACACCTTCCGGGCTCTTGAGGAGGCCTACCGCGACGCCGAGGCCGCCGGGGACTCCTCGCAGGCGGAGAGGTGCAGGGCGAAATTGAACGCGCGCGCGCGCGAATTGGCCGCCGAAGTGCGCGAATCCGAACGGGAGGAGCTCGAGCAAAACCCTCGCGGGATTCCGCTCGCCGTCCTCCCGCTGGATACCGACGCGAAGTGCCAAAAACTCGAGGCGCGGCTTCGCGCACTTCGCCAAGAGGGCGCCTCGGAGGAGCAGGTGGCGGATATTATAGCCCAAATGAATGATCGAATCAATGAAATGGCCGAGGAGATTATTGAGAAGGGGCGCGGCTTTTTGGATCAAACCCCAGAGGGGGTCCCATTAACGATGCTGCCGCTCGATACGGACGAGGAGTTTGGTGAGCTGGAGGTTCAACTGGCCACTCTCCAGCAGGATCCCGAGGGAAATAAAGACAAAATTGAGTATGTGAAGGGGCAACTTGAAAAGAGGATTGTTGAGCTTGCCAAAGAACAGCTCGATAGGGATTTATCTTCAGTTGATGATGCCCCGTGTGGAATTCCAAAAGAACTTCTCAACTTGGCCGACGACCCGGAGTGCGCTGTCATCATCCCCAAGCTTCGCCACCTCCGTAGTATACCCAATCCCGACGCCAGCACGGTCTCCCTCATAAGGAAACTGGAAGAACAGCTCAACGACAGGGCAAACGAAATTGCCTCCAGTATGCTAAAGAATGATCGCGACTACCTTCAACTGGATGTTGACGGGGTTAAATTAGAGGACCTTGATTACGACGGCGATGAGAGGTTTCGTGAGATGGAAGTTCAACGAGCCATATTAAAAGCAGAGGATCCTGTGGGCAATGCTTCCGCTATTGCGAATCTCGAACGCTGTCTTAACAACCGTGCACGGGAAATGGCCCTAGACTTGATCAAAGGGGAGATGAGTGGGATGAAGAGCACCATCGATGGAATTCACATCTCAGAGATAGACCCGTACAAGGATAAGGTTTTCGCTGATTTGGCTGCTAAACTTCGTCACTCAAAGCACAATCCGATTGCTGGCTTTAAGGAGAATTTAGAAGAAATGATGAACGACCGCCTTAGCGAGTTAGCGAAGGAGAAGAAATACGGACAGCATTACTTCCTCGATCGTGAATGGGATGGCGTCCCGTTGAGCGATGTTCCCTTCCAGAAGAACCCCATTTTTCAAGAATTATGGAGAAAACGCGAGGAGCTGATTGCACGGGATCCCGTTGGCAACGCCGACGCGATCAAACGAATCGAGGCGGATCTGAAGAAATGTGTGCGGGACATGGCGTGCGATATCAAAAATAAGGACTTGGCAGGTTTAGATCAGTTCCCTGAGGGTATTCCGCTCGCTCTTCTTCATGTTCGAGAGGATCCTGAGATAATGAAGCTTATTCCACAGTTTAGAGCCGCTCGGCAAAATCCTAATATGCAGGCTGAAGCGAATGCGATCGAAAAGAAGATGAATAATCGTGTGCATGCCATGGCAAAGGCGGTTCTGCAACAAAACCGACGCCACCTCCTGGGCCCCACCGTTGCCGACCTGGATGTGGAAGATCTCCCGTTGGATGACGACCGCGTTTTCCGCGATTACGAGGTCAAACTGGCGACCCTGCAACGGCAGGACTCGGGGAGGAACGTCGAGGCCGTCCAGCGCCTCGAGGCCCAGTTCATCGCGCGCGCGCTCGAGATCGCGAAGGCGCAGCTGGCGGCCCACCTGCGCGAGCTCGACGCCGCCCCGGAGGGCGTCCCGCTCGCGATGCTGCCGGCCACGACGGACCCGACGATGCGTGATCTCCTGCGGCAGCTGCAGAAGCTCCAGGGCGACCCGTCCTCACCCGCGAGCACCCGGGCGCGGCTCCGCGGCCTCGCCAACGCCCGTCTGCGCGAGCTGGCGAAGCAGCAAAAGGCGGCCGACCTCGCCGGGCTCGAGCCCTCGCCCCGTGGGATCCCCCTCGCCCTCCTCAACCTGCACGATAACCCGGCCTTCGCGGAGATGGTTGACCGGCTGCGTCGCCTGCAGGCCGCGGCCGAGGCCGACCCCGAGGCCGTCGCGCTGCTGAGGGCGAAGATGGACCAACTCGCCCGGACGGTGGCCGAGTCGGTCCTGACCAGCGGCCGCCATCTGCTGCCCGAGGTCATCGAGCACGTCCCTCTTCGCCGGCTGGAGATCGACGGGGATGGCGTCTTTGGCCAGTTGGAGCTGAAGCGCGCCGTTTTGCAGCTCGCTAACCCGGCCGCCCCGCGGGAGTCGATCGCCGAGCTCGACGAGGCCCTCATGGCGCGCCTCGTCGCTATGGCCCGCGATCTTAAGGAGCGGGACTACGACGGGCTCAACCCCAACCCCTACGGGCTCACGCTCGCCCTGCTGGATCCCCACCGCGATGAGGCTTTTTCGAATCTCGTCGAGGAAAAGGCGAAGATGGGGAAATTGCGAAAGCAGGAGTTGGTGGCGCCGATCGTGCGCTCGCTCAACGAGCTCACGGAGCGGCTCGCGGCGCGCCTGGTGAAGGCCGATCGCTCCTATTTGGCCCCCGAGCCCGGGGATATTCCCCTTCATCTCCTCCCGTTGGATACCGACGAGGTTTTTCGCGCGATGGAGGTTCAGCGGGCGGTTTTGAAGGCGAAGGATCCGGAGCGAAACGCCGCCGCGATCGAGGGTCTTGAGCGTCGCCTGAATGATCGCGCCTACCAATTATCCCTCGAGTTTCTTGCGAAGGACCGGGGGTATTTAGATCCTTTCCTGGAGGGAGTGCCGCTGGGGATTCTTCCGCTGGATACCGACACCCGATTTCACCAAATGGAGGTCAAGCGGGCAAAGCTCAAAATACGGGACGCGCTGGTGGATGCGGACTCGATAAGCGTCCTGGAGAATAGTCTGACCTATCGCGCGGTGGAGCTCGCCAAAAAGCAAATCCAGGAGGACCTGGAAGGCTTGGACAAGGAGCCCGAGGGCTATCCGATCGAGTATCTTCACCCGCATCATCACCAATCAATCGCGCCGTTGATGCCCGACCTGCGCGAGGCCAAGCAGCAGAAGGATGGGGCCAAAACTCGCCAAATTCAGGACCAGCTTAACCGGTTGTTAAGGCAAATCGCCAAACAGCAGATTGTGAGCGATCGCGAGTTTCTGGATCGGACCCCGGAGGGAGTGCCGATTGAGCTGCTCGATCTGGAGGCCGACTCGGTCTTCCGCGAGGCTGAGAAGAACGTCCGGGCCCTTCAGTCGCTCAAGACGCGCCAAACGTCCAAAAGTGGCCGATCCCGGCATAGCAGCAACAGGGGGGTTTTGAAAGAGCGAAAGATCCTCATGAATACCCGGATCCATGAGATGGCGAAGGAGTTGATTTACAAAAATCGTGGCTTCCTGAACGCAACGGTGGAAGGGATCCCCGTGAATGAGATTTCCTTGGACAACGATCACCAATTTCGCGAGCTCGAGATCCGGCGCCTGCGCATCTTACTTTCAGACCCCGCCACCCAGCGCCATTCCGAGGCTTCGCGCAATACCGAACTCAGGTCTTTAGAGGAAAAACTAACCCAACGCGCGGGTGAGCTTGCCAGGAGTATTAAACACGAAAATCGGCGATTTTTGCGGCGGACCTCGTTTGGGGTGCCGTGGGAGCTGCTGCCGTTGGATTCCGATAAGGTCTTCGTCGCGACGGAGAAGGAACTACAGCAGAAATTGAAGGCCGGCCATAGCACTAACGCGGTCCCACCGCTTTACAATGCCCTGCAAAAGCGCGCGGACCAGTTGGGCGAGGAGATGGTTAAGGGCCAGCGGGAGAAGTATCTCGACCTATCCGACCTCAAGGTCGAGATCGAGGATCTTAACCTGGACAATGACGACGAGTATTCGGAGGTGGAGGTGCGGCGGGCGATTTTATTGGCCGAGGATCCTTACAAGAACCACGAAACTGCGCTGGAGCTCGAAACCAAGCTGAACGATCGGGCCCATTTTATCGCCAGGGAGCTTATTCGTGCCGACCGATCCTTTTTGCCGAAGGAATTCTTCTCGATCCCGACGGAGGATCTTCCCTTGGATGAGAGCGATGAGTTTATCAAGCTGGAACGGCAGTACCGGGCGCATCGGCGCACCAAGCGGATGGATCGGCTCCCTGGGGATGAGGAACTTCTGAAGGGCTGCGCGCGCGAGCTCGCCGCGAAGGTGCTTGAGGAGGACCTAAGTTGCTTGAAGGACTGCTATCGCGGGATCCCCAAGAAAGAGCTTCATTTGCCTGAAGACCCGGAGTTTCGTACTCTGGCCTGTCGTCGTCGAAATTACCTGTGGGGCAAAGTCAAGATGAACACCTCCGACGTGGCATCCATCGAGAAGATGATGGATTCCCGCGCGTCCGATATTGCGGACGACATTTTGGCGAAGGAGCTGATCTTTTTAGATCGCGAGCCGGAGGGGATGCTGCTCGAGGATGTCCCCCTGGATACTGACCCCACGTTTATCCGTCTCGAGGCCGAGTACCGCCGCCGCTCCGGCGACCCACGACTGACCTTGACGAACAAAGAGGCCCTCAAAGAGCTTCAGATCGTGATGAATCAGCGCTCCCACGCCCTGGCGGCGGCCGAGTTCGCGAAGCGGCGGGCTTTTATGGATCAGGAGCCAGAGGGCATCCCCCTCAGCGAGCTTTGCCTGGACGAGGACCCCGAGTTCAAGGCGGCCGAGATCACCAACTACCGAAACCAACGGCTGAAGTCCCCGCGGGACACCGTCGACGCGGAGACCCGAAAGCGCATGAACCAGCGCGCCCACGAGGTGGCGCTGGTGGTGATTTCGAACGATCGCGCCTTCCTCGACCCCGAGCCGGAGGGCATCCCGCTCAAAGAGCTCCTCCTCGAGGACGATCGCGTTTTTCAAGATCTCGCCGTCGAGCGGCGGCGCCTGATGAAGTCCCAGCGGCAGGGGAACGCCAACGCGAAGTACAAAACCATCGAGAACCAGATGAACCAGCGAACCCACGAGCTCGCGCGCGCGTTTCTGAAGGCGGAGCGCAAATTCCTCAACCCCAAGCCGGCGGGGGTTCCGATTTCGGACCTCCCGCTGAACTCGAACACCACGTTCCGCATCCTCGAAAGGGAAAGGCGGGCGATGAAGGCGCAGCCCAACTACGACCCCGCGGAGTTCGCGGCCGTCGAGGCCGAGCTGAACGACATGGCCCACAAAATCGCACTGTCCATGCTCGTGAAGGAGCGGATGTTTTTGAACGCGGAGCCGATGGGGGTCCAGCTCGAGGAGCTCTCGCTCAACCACGACGACACCCTCAATTCGTTGGAGCATGAGCGTCGGGGCCTTCTGAATGATCGCCACGCCAACCGGGTCACGCTGAACGAGCTGGAGGACGCGATTACGGAGCGGGTGAACCAAATCGCGGACGAGTACCTGCAAAAGGAGCGCGAGTTCCTTGACCCGGAGCCGGAAGGGGTGCCGCTGAAGTACCTTCCTTTAAGCACCGACCCACACTTTCACAACATGGAGCTGCAATACCGCAAACTGAACCGTTCGCATGACCCGGAAAAGGTGAACTTGTTAACTAAGCTGCGAAAAAAGATGCAGAACCGAACTCGCGATATGGCCAGAGAGCTGGTGAATAAGAGTCGCGCCTTCTTGGATCCCGAGCCACTTGGCGTGCTCATCGCCGATCTTCCTCTGAATTACGACGAGACTTTTCGAAAACTCGAAGAGCAGCGGCGTGTTTTGAAGGAAAATGATCCTACCAACGTGGATGCGATCAAGAATGTCGAGAATCTTCTCAAAAAGCGCACCTACCAGCTAGCGGTGAAGCTTCACGACCAGGAGCGCTCCTCGATGACGCAAACACCGCTTGGGATCCCACTTGAAGGGCTCCCGCTGAATGAGGATCGCCAGATTCTCGATCTCGAGCGAGTGCGTCGCCAAGTGCTCAAGAACAAGGATTCCAAAAATAACTTAGAACGGCTCAACGAGCTCGATCGCGCGCTTGACAATCGTGCGCTCGAGCTCGCGGTGAATATCCTGAAGGAAGGCCGCGCCCACCTCGATCAGATGCCCTACGGCGTCCCGATCGATGACCTGGAGCTCAGCACCGATTTGAAGTTCCACGGCCTGGAGCTAGAGCTCTACAACGCCCAAAAAGGCGATGCCGGGCCGCAGACAATTGCCGAGCTGCATGGGAAAATGACCGAGCGGCTCTACGAGTTGGTCGATGATTTTGTCAGCAAGGAACGCTACTACCTGGATCCGGAGCCCGAGGGGGTTCCGCTTTCGAGCCTGCCGATCAACACCGACCCTCTCTTTCTGAAGTTGGAGCAGGAGCTTCGGTGGCTGGTGCGGAATAAAGATACCTCCGGCCGCGCAGAAAGCCTGCGGGAGCGGATTCAGAAGCGGGTCTATGAGCTGGCGTTGGAGATCTACGGCTGGAAGGATGTGGAGTTCCACGATGCGAATAAGCACGTCGCCCCGAAGTGGCCCCGCATCGCGGACGTCTTCCCGGAGAATCGAACGGAGAGTTTTCTCCCCAAGGTCTTATGCTCCTCCGACGTCGGGGCTTCCCCTCATGGCACGGGCTACCTTGCGTCCTTTATCGCGGCCCTGGCGCGTTATCCCACGCTGCTGCTGCGTCTCTTTGGCGACAAAACCTCCTTTATTAATGCCGTCTACACCTTTACCTTTTTCGACTTCGACGGCAATCCGACCTATATCTCCGTGGACGATCGCGTCCCATGTGGGGAGGATCTCCAACCGCTCTTTTTGCAGTCCTCGAATGGGTTGTGGTACCCATTGCTACTCGAGAAAGCGTATGCCAAGTTTATCGGCGGCTACGACGCCATGCGGAATTGTTCCGCGCAGGAGACCATCCGGGACCTGACGGGGCGTCCGGTCGTGCTCACCCCGCTTGAGCCGCTTTTGGCGAATGCCGGGAATATCAGAAATTGCACCTTGGTCGACTTTTGGCATGTGATTATGGAGGATCTAGCCAGCGGAAACATCATTGTGTGCTTGTCGAAGGCGGATGGTGGTGAGATGGATGGCATTCACCCGATGTGTTATTACCCACTGCTAGGCGTCATTAAGACCGTAGAGGCTAGCGACAACCCTTCCGACATTATCGTGAAGATTTTCAACGTGTACCACGGCCACGGCGCGGAGTACAATGGACCGCTTAACGTAAATGACCTAAATTGGACCCCTAATCTACGGCGTATCTGTAAATATGATCCCCAACGCAATACTAAAATTATCTGTATGCCGCTACCGACATTTTTGCGTAACTTCTGCAATTTGTACAATTGTTATATCAATTGTGGGACCCGGATGACGGTGGAAAGCGTCTGGGATCGGCACACAGCCGGGGGAAATCCCTCCTTGACCACCTTCCGAAACAACCCTATTTTCATTCTGGAGAAGAAGGCCTCACAACCGGTCACCGTGTTGGTCGAGCTCCGGCGGCGTGAGCCATCGTGGGTGGATGAAGATGGGTCTAAACGTTATTCGGATGTCAGCGTCGCGCTTCTGCAGCCTGTGAACCCTACCGCCCCCCCGACCCCGCTCCTCACAAACAGCACCCATTCCTTTGTGCAGAAGGGCATCATGATGGATACCCGCGATGTCTGCATGTTGATGGTGCTCCCGTCCACCACCTCCTGTTATCTTATTCCCTATAACATGAATCCGGGCCAAACCGGCAGCTTCACCCTCTCCGTGTACTCGGACCGAGCGAAGCTGAACATTCAGCCGCTAAAATCCACCGGCCTCTCCCGTACGCCGACGTCCATTAAGGTGGTTCTCTGCCCCGGTCAGGAGTCCATTCGGATCGATTTCACCGTGAGCTCCCCAGGCGACGTGCACGTCCTCCTCCACCAGGAGAAGATCACGGAGGTGATGTCGGTGAAAAACAGCGACATCATCGCCGAAGACAGCGTCTCGATGGCGGGATTTACGGAGGATGGATTCATGATCGCCTGTTCCGGCGAGTCGACCAACTCCAGGGAGCACTCCATGGTGATGCGAGTTCCCCAAGAAGGCCGCTATGCGGTGCTCTTGAGCTCACCCAACCCCCCTTTTACAGGCAATTGTCCCTGTTTACTTTCCTTTTACACCTTCAAGTGGATCACAATCAAGTTTGTGCCGACCGCGGTTGGCGTCAAGCCCCTTCAGATCGGCCGCCGCTCTTTGCTTCCCAAACTCTCTAATAATGGCACTTATCTTCCACCTCGGACCGCACGCACTGCCGCGAGCTCCGAGGAACAACACTGCCAATTACCCTCATTAGATCAACGTCGAGTTCACTCGATGCGTCATTAACAATAGGAACCTAACCCTACAACTCGTTTATTCTTTATTGTACCCATTACAATGTGATTGAAACTATATTTTCGAGCGAACGTTCTTTTTCTTAGCCTTTTTCTATTTTTTATTTTCACTATGGCACAATTATAATATTGCTTTAATTGGTATAGGAAAAGTAAAACTCCAGCGGTGTTAATGTACTATGATGTGCTATTTTTATGTATGATTCTAAGGAATTCGACTCTTACCTATGAATATTAGTTTATTATTCTCAGATTGTTTAGATCAGTGCTCTTTATCATTGTCATTGACATTATCCATACTGTAATGCTGAATTAAAGGCTTTGCTTTGTATGCTGCAATTTCATTATCTTTTTTATAATTTAATCTTCTTTGAGTATCTTTGAACCAATCTTTACATTTAACGGTCTTATATATTTTTTGTGTCGCATGCGTACTCTAATACATCATCGTTTTCTATTGTCTAAAAAATGACACCATAAAAGGAAACTATAAGTAAAAAGCAGTATTGAATAAAAATTACTATGGAATGATACAGAGGATGGAAATAGGCGAATTCTTTTCCGAATTTATCAAAAGCGATGAACCGTTACAACATCTATGCTTACACTTTATGCCCAACGTTTATATCATATATAACAACCAATCAGCGATTTCCTTATGGTGCTCGTATGATGCATTGAATAATAAAAACATAGATGTCTGTAACATATTGTACCTATTTTTATATTCCTTTGTTAGTGATAAAAATGTATAACATAGATATTTTTGATTATTACTATGATGTATTCAAAGTAAAGAACATTTATTACTGGTAACACATGCGTGCCGATGATGATTGGAAAAGTTTTATGTATTCATTTTTCAATTGCCTATTAACTTTATCCCATCCCACCCCACCCTATGATATTCCGCACCATTTTCCCATAGTTTCAGTTATTCGATTTTGAATATGTGAAAAAAATGATTTAATAAAATTTTCTTTTATACAAAAAAATCATATCCAACTGTGCTTTAGAATTTTACCTGTAGTCGTTTTTTTGTGTATAGTAGTACTTTTGCATTTGTTTTTATTTAGTAAGATTGTGAATTCACTACATTACAGGAAAATTCCTCTATCGATGCGTTAGGATATTTTATTACACCACATTCATGTAAAAAAAAATACTCTATGGACATGTTTTAACCCTTAACCTTGACTAGATCGCCTTCCCTCTCGATCGATATGTTTCCGAACGGAATATTCCTCACTACCACTTTCCTTTCCCTATTTTCAACCTCATTTTTCCTTTTCTATTGCATTCTCCTCACAGCGTACATACCCCAACCGGCCAACGCAAGTCTGACCACGTGCAAGCCGAGGACGCGGACGACGCCATCCCGTGCCAACCTCGCCTTTTTCCCCCCACGCGACAACCCCAGTAAAGCGGGAACGGGACCTCCCCTTTAGACCTCCCCTTTGGA